GGAATAATCGATTAATCGAAAAAATAATCGTTAGATTAATCGATTAGAAAATAACCGTTTGGTACAGCACTACTTCTGATAAAGCTAAAGTCAGTATCATTCTCCAGAAAAAGAAAGGATGACTCTTATCCTCCTCACCCCTCATCTTGCTCCCCCAGCAGCTCGTGGCCACTTTCTAAGTCCAGCAGGCCTTTTTCAACCTCCTTCTCTTCACCCGCGGCTCCTCCTCCTTCAGACAAGGCCTCTGCTCCCTGGATCTCTGCTGTCTCCTCAGACTCCTTGTCCTTTTCCATCACCGCGTCTGGTTCGAATTTTTCTTCCTCCTCCGCATCCACTTTTGACTTCTCATCTCCACTGGACTCCTCGCTGGACGTCGTCTCGTAGCTGAAAAAAGGACAAAAAGCAAGATGTGCTTAAAGTGGCTGTTACATGCATGTTCTTAGAAATAAAATAAAAAAAGGTAAAAGAAAGCATCTGTATATTTAAAAACTTAGCATAATACACAAGATTTAACCCATTTGGACACATAACTGGCATATTTTCTTTTGAACTGGGCTGAGCCAGAGTGAAACAGGAAGTGACATCAAAGGGGAACTCCCTGGTTTTTATTTATTGAAACAATATTATTTGAACTCTGACTCTCCTTCATCTCTTTCTGATAGACTTAAAATGATCTAAAGAAACATCAGATTCTTCTCTACGTTCTCTCAGCCAKTGTAAAAACGCTCTGTTCACAGGCAGACATTCCCCTTTTGACATCACTTCCTGTTACTTCACATGTAAATATCTCAACAACTATTTATCTCAGCGGCATGCAATTTATTTTGCGATATTTTGTCAGTGCAATCTTTCCAAAAGTACATTCATATTTATTACAAACATTTTTATGTCTCAGGCACTTTAAGGGTTTTTATGTTGAAGGAAATATCAAGTTTTACTTCAATGATGAAAAAAGTTTCAGTAAATATGTAAAAAACATGAATCCACATCAGAAATGTGCATACATAAAGATACATATGAGGGCCAACACATCACACTAACTGTATGAACTAAGCAAACGCTAAGTAAATAATAACTAATCATCCACTCCTAAATATGGGATAAGGTAAATGTTTGGCTTTGGCAGTSTTGGATTGTAAAATGTTCCTCACAAAATGACCCGTCTAAATTTAAAAAACAGGTATGTTTGCTCAAGCAGCCCAGGACAAACACAACTTTGTTCAGCGAGGAGAGGCTTTTCATATATTCAAAGCTATATGGGGCGGGATGCTGGTTTGTGTGTGATCACTGGGGCGGATCATCAAGGCACCTCTGTGAGGCCAGCTATCAGGTAAGACACAGTGAATGCCACTGATTCATGCTTATTTAATCACACACATGCACTCCGACAAGAGGGGCCGCAGCATTCCCTGGATTCCAGAGCAGYTCAAGGGAGAGCAAAGATAGGTTTGAACATCTAAAGAGAAAAATAACTCAAACAGTGGTGAGAAGCCTAAAGATAGTCAAAGCAAATATTATTGTCATATATGTTTTTTTTTTTTTTTCGTTACAAAGAAATATCTGCTCAATTTTATTTGGAACTGCTCAGGATAATTGGATAAATATTTGCAGGAAAAAAAAAACAGGGATAGAACTGGACTACAGCGTTTAAGACACACTAGAGTTTGTTTATAAGGACAAAGCCAGATAATTTATTACTCTTGAGAACAACTGCCGGGGTATGTTTTCAGATCAATCTGCAACGGGGAGGAAGGAACTGAGCTCACAGCAACACTGTGAAACAACACGGCACAAGGTGAACGGGTCATAAAACAGTGAAGCTCAGGAATGTAAGAACAGGAACGCAGAAATTAAATAAATTCACTCGCGGCAGCCTTGACATGCACGACTTAATACCTCKGAGGAATTTCAGGCAAACCTTTCTAAGAAAATCTGGGATTACGAGAGCATGGAGCGAGAAAGATCTGATTTGAAACCTCAAACCATTCCTCAGTTAAATCTGTGTAAACATGGATAGGAGGATTGCGTACATTTTAATTTTATAGTTTTGTGTATTATCCCTTTATCTTATTTTATTATAGGGAAGCCTTTGAAGGTTTTCTCAAACCAGCTGAGAKACATTTAAAACCTTTAAGCAAGTTCTGGCTTTTCTGGGTGTCCTCCCAGGTCTCACTTTGCCAACAGAATCACATCATCTGCAAAAATCAAAGATCCATTCAAAGCTACAAAGTCTGAAAAGCCTCTTTTGTTATGCAATAAATAAATAAATAGATATCTACTGTGGTTATGAACAAAATTAGTGACTAAGAACCAATTGTCTGGATTATTAACAGCATTAAGCTTTCAACTCTGGTTGTAAAGGAACTAATTGGTCCATAGTTAGACACTCAGTTAAACTAAAACAAACTCCACCAAACCCCACAAGTATGTTTAGCAGCTTGCAGTCTACAGAGAAAACTGGTTGGACAAATTAATTGGACAGTGTGAAAAAAAAAACTAGTCTAAATACAGTGAAGATGACAACTAAAGTGCTTCTCCTGACTTTATTTCCCAGTCTCTTCTATCCAGCAACTCCRGCAAAAACTGTGAATAATAAATTATTCAGGGATAATTATTACAGAGTGTTCAATTAATTCAGTCCCTATAAACASAAAAAATTACAATTAATAAAATATGCACAAAACCACACTGCAACACAYACAAAGATACACATTACGGTTTGGATGCTGATTAAAAAAAAGTTTTTTACCCTCCGTTCACCCCAACAAACTTCAGGTTTTTCTTGGTTCCCTTGCTTCCCTGCTTGTCGGCAACACCATTTTTCTTCATAATGGATTTGAGACCTGGTGAAGAAGAGCAGGGGGGCAAAAAATAATTAATTAAGGTGGGGGGTGTGGAACGTTTCTAAAGGCTCTTTTACAAAACACGATGCAGTTTCTGCATTGCTTGCTTTTTGTGCATATGATTCTGCATTTATGAGTAAATATAGGATCAGAGTAACTTTTTTAACTCATCTGTCCCATTGTGTGTTTTATTTTCCAAGCTGCAAAAGGTAGTGCGACTGTGTTGCGTAAGACCTGGCCATCCGTTCCCCCATGTTTGTAATGTGTGTCTTTCTTCAAACAGGTGTTCTTAACTGCAGTTTCGTTCTGCATGTGTGTGAATGACAATAAAGCTGATTCTGATTCTTCTAAAAGCTCATGTCTGCGCGGGATGTGGCTGAATTCATGAAAAACCAAAAGCAGYGCAAGGACTGGTCTTTGCGTTCATTTTGCACAAATGTTTTGTCAAAGTTCCTTAAGGAACCAAGTTACAGCCTCTTTTTTTTCCCTTTCATTACTACTGTACTGTAATAGTACTGATTGTAAGGAGCTATAACTAAATTGAGATAGTACTTTGTTCTGTTTTATTTATGCATTAAAGGTTTTCGCAAAAATAAAACAAGTGCATTAAAAACCTGTGTTGAGTTATGCTGAAAGTGTTGAYATGGGAACAATGTTACAGTTTCTGTGACAACTGTCTCAATGAATTATTATGACCAAGTGGTGCAAAACACTAAACTGATGGGGGAAATAAACACAATCAAAAACGCAAGTAAAGTTCACAAAACACCATAACAAATCTACAAGTGAAACAAAATACAGAGAAAAAAAACTAAACCAACAATCTCTATCCTAGGTTGTGT